GACAAAAGACAAATAATTGTAGAGGAAGCAAAGCAGATCTTGGTGGGTGACATTGGTGATACTGTAGAGGACCCCTACACATCTTTTGTGAAGTTGCTACCTCTGAATGATTGCCGATATGCTTTGTACGATGCCACATACGAAACAAAAGAGTCTAAGAAAGAAGACCTAGTATTTATATTCTGGTGTGTAAAAACAAAAGAAAAAAGTACTTTTAAAATGCAAGGATAATTATTATCATAGTCAGTTTTGCCTTTGTTCTTCTTATAAGTGAGATTCAACAATTGTTTTTTTTTGTTTTTTTGTTTTTTTGTTTTCATAGGGCTCCTGAAAGTGCACCCTTAAAAAGCAAGATGATTTATGCTAGCTCTAAAGATGCCATTAAAAAGAAATTCACAGGTACAAATATTGACTATTTTGTGGAGAGAAATTACTCTTTTCTAAGTATAATAAGATAATGGAATATTTTTTCTTTTTAGGTATTAAACACGAGTGGCAAGTAAATGGCTTGGATGATATTAAGGACCGATCAACACTTGGAGAGAAATTGGGAGGCAATGTAGTAGTTTCACTTGAAGGAAAACCATTATAAAATGACCATCAAGTGCCATCTGGATCTTAAGGGGTTTCATTTCTCCAGCTCAGTCCATTGGAATAGCATTAGGTGTTTTTTCATTTTTTTTTTTTTYCCCTTTCCTCTGGGCCCTTCCAACACATGAATGGAGGAGATATCATTCATTTAAGCAGCCTGTCAGTGATTGCCATTAGACTCTTCAATATGGTTATTTTTATGTAGAAGGAATGCCTTCCTGTYTTTATTTTAGCCAAAACAACTGGTTATATGCCTCCTTTGCAGCAAGCACTACAATGAATGTGATTGTCAATGTGAATAGTCTAGAATACTGCAAAGGGTAAGCAGATTGAATGCCTTGAAAGTATTATCCACTGGTCAGATGGTGAACTTTTTTCAGTATTATTATAGTTACACTTGATTGTAGTTCTGTGAGGCGCTGGAGCATTCATACACCTCACCTGCCTTGGCAAGCCTTCTTTTGTGACATGGCAGCACTAATATAACACTATGCATTAAAAGCACTTTTTTTTTTAATTGAGTTTAATCCCCCCAAAGGAATGCCAATTAAGTTTCATTAACTGTGTCATCAATTTATCCTAGTACCTCAGTGTTTGTTCCTATTACCTACATATCTTCTTAAAAGAAATATCTGTTATTAATGCCTTTTTGTTTTCCATTGAGTGTACACTACTGAATAAGTGTAGGAGTTTTATGTTTACCATGTGAGTCTTGCAACACTAAAGATATTTTGAATATCAGTCATGATGGCAATTTCTGTATAAAAGAGCCTTAAATGGAACATTGTTTTGAGATCAAACTCCCCATCCTCACAAAAATGGCCACGTTGCAATAAAAATTGTGGCATGTTACAGAACGTTGCCTTGTTTTCCTTGGAAATTTTGCAAAATGTTACGTAGAACCACTTTTAGGGTAAACAGCTATAAAGTTCTGCACTGGTCATTTGAGAACTTTTTTTGTACAACATTCATGCATGATATTTTCCAGATCTGTTGGATTTCTTTGGTTTAAACAATATTCTATCCTTAAAGACACCTAATATAAAATACCATTACTAAAGAGTGGTACTTTTTTAAACATGTTTATTTATTTCTTTATGTGTTAATATGGAGAGCAGTTTTTTTGGCTTTTGGTTTTGTTTTTGCACTTTGACATAAATATCCTCAATATCTCATTTGTTCTCCAGTTATTTTTTTATTCACATTTACACTTAGAGATAATTGAGTAGAAGCAGCAGGAAATTTTTGTTGCTTATTGGGTCAAAATAATAATTTGTTAAATGTCCTTCAAAAGTTTAATGCTTCTGATATTTAGAAATATTCATTTTCACTACTGTAATAGAATTAGAAAAGAATTGGTAGTCTTAAACATTACTGGTGGGATTTGGCAGTGGTCCAGATTGCTCTCCTTATAGAGAATTTGATCTACTCAGTGYGAGCAGTTTGCTGTTAGCCAGAGCTATTTATGGCAAACACATGCTTTTGTATCTTGTCATAGTTATCCACAAATGGCAAAACTGGACTTGATTCTACTGGTATGCAAAATAGGCATGCTAGTAAGCAGTGAATTGTGGCTCAGAACTTAAGTCCATGTTTCTGAAGAATGCTTTTGTCAGAAAGAAATGAAAATATTCCTTTTTAAACATTTTTTAAAAGTATTTAGAAGTAATTTGAGTTTAATTAGGGTTTTTTTCATATTTTTAAAAGTTTTTAGATAAGAACGTTAAAAAGATTATATGTCTAGGCTTCTATTTAAAACTGTATGAATGGCTTGGGATCTTTTTTGCACTGAGCAGTTTTATTTCAGGTTTCCAACTGTCCATGTGAGTTGTCTTAGACATTTTGATCACTTTTTGGAAAGGCCAAATTTTTAATAATCAAAGCAGGAGAATAGTAATATATACTAAACCCTATGTGTAACATACTTGCACCATGGCATTTTTCAGTATTTCCTCATTCTTCTAGAAAATAAGGRAGTTCTAAAAAACAAATCAGTTATCAGAGTATCTTTGATCTTTATAACTAATTCCTTGACTTCCTTATATGCTCTTTAATAATTTCAGAGATTAAATACTTCTTTAAACTACAATATTTTGATTTGTTAGATTGACAAAATAGATATTAACATAGTTATATATATACATATATATATGCATATATATGTATATATATATATTTTTTTTAGTTTTAGCTGGACATAATATCTTTATTTTTATGTGGTGCTGAGTATCAAACCCAGTGTTTCACACATGCTAGGCAAGCGCTTTACTGCTGAGCCACAACCCCAGTCCTAGTTAAGTTCATCTTTGAAATACACCTTTGTGCACAGAGCTAAAAATAATGATATCATTAATAATAGATCACATGTTGACTAATTTGGCATTTGAAATGATCATTTTTATTTTATAATCATTTATAATGAAACAATGTTCCAGTTAGCTTTAAAATATATACGGTGCTAATTAGTAAAAATATTAAAGACAGTATTTTATTGCTAGCTTGCGAAATTATAAGTGTTTAAAAAATAAAATACGTGAAAATATTTAAAGCTGTTRAGATGTATTTACTTACACTTTGGATATTACAAGGTGAAAAATTAAGAGCAAAGAGGCACCATTATCTGTAGTCTTTTTCAGGATTTTAGTTGATGAACTTTTTCATGTAGAGATATATTTTCTTTGAAAACCGAATGTTGAAGCAATTTTAGCATTTTCAAACAAATAGGAACAGTTGKCATTTGTCCCAAACTGGCTGTCAGCTGTCGTTTTCCATCATTATCTAAAATAGTGTGACCAGCGTTGTGTATTTAATGTGCCTTTATACTAGATTAGAAGAAAAGCCTCTTAGTAGTTTTGAGTTTCTCTGATATAGATCCTTTGTAGCAGCTAATTTATGGAATCCAACAAATGGATTTTGGGAGAAAATTCTTTTAAAAACTGTTCTCTTGTTAAGGAAAGATCTCAGCAATGGTAAATCATTGAGGGGTTTGACACACTTTTCGCTAGGTTTTCCTCTTTTATAAAATCATGTTCTGTTCTTGTTTTTGTTTGTAATGGTAGTTGGAGATAAAAAAAATGTGAATTTTCACTTATTTATGAAAATATTAAACACTACTAGAGATGTACAGGCAGGCTYCACTGAATATTGCTTTTCAGACAACATAAGTTTAGAGATATTGTATCTTAGGCAGTAAAGAAGTCAGGTTCTTTTCTATGCTCTGAAACATCCAAATAATTGCTTGCTTTCTGTGTACAATTGGAACTTAACCCTCCAATCCAAATTAATCTCTCTGACCCTTAGTTTTTTAAATTAATAACATGGGAATGATAATGTCTGTACTGTATCTGGTTGCTGAGTCAAATATAAAAATGCTTTTTGGAAATAGGAAGATGCTATGTAACTGTAATAATTTGTTTAAACCATGTACCCTTAATAAGTATAATCACATAGATGAAAGAACTGTGTTAAAAATAACATATCACTGAGCCTCTATTTTTATAACTTCCATTTATTTACATGAAGACTGATTGGCTGATACATAGCATCTTTTTCAGAAGTATAAAATGTATTGTTAGYTCAGAATTACAGCTTCTGGATTGATGTCCATGGCTACTTTTTTTTTTCCATGACTGCTTTTAATCTTTTTAGTGTAATTTTCTTTTTCACGTGTGAATAGACAGATAATAGTCTTTTTCCCAAAATAATTTTGAAGTAAAGAGAAAGCTAGAAAGCTATGGAATATTTGTCATAAATGTATGATCCAGGTTGTTGAAATATCGTAATTTTTTTTTAATGTTTTTTGTTACTGGGAATTGAACCCAGGGGCCTTTTATCACTGAGCTATATATCCAACCCTTTTTATTTTTTCAGATAGAATCATGCTAAGTTTCTGAGGTTCTTTCTAAATTGCTGAGGCTAGCCTCAAGTTTGGGATCCCGTCTCAGTCCTTTGAGTCATTGGGATTACAGGTGTGTGCCTGTGTCCAGCTGAGTTTTTTGTTTTCTTTAGAAAGTTCATGCCCATGAAATCGGAAATATTTTGTTTCCAAGATTTTTTGAATGTTTCAGTATTGTAAATTTATAGAATTGTGAAAAATAAGGATTATATATACAGTTCTAGAAAGCTAAGATCTCATGCCTGTAACAAGTTCAAGGCTAGCCTAGGCAACTTGGTGAGACCCTGTCTCAAAATAAAAGGGCTGGGGATGTAGAGTGCTTGCCTAGCATCTGCAAAGGCTTGGGTTTGATCCCCAGTACTATATACATTTAAAAAAAAAAAAAAAAGCATATCTCTTAATCCTTTTCCAAAAACTTGGATATATCCCTTCCCATGTTCCTCTACCCGTTTTTTCTAGAAAGATTACTGTATTTATAGTGGTTAGGTACTAGGACTTTGATATCAAAGACTGCCTGGGTTATCACATGCAGACCATTAACACTAGTTGATTTTAGGCAAATCATTTAACATCTGAAAGCCTTAATTGTTCCATCTTTAAAATGGAGATAATTGTGCCCCCTATAATAGAATTGGAGAATAAATGAAGGCACTTGTAATACTTCCTGGCACATAGTAAGTGCTCAGTAGAATGGTGCTAAAATTTTGATCCAGTCATGTGAAAGAGCTATTATGTCATGACAACAAGCTTAAGATAGGCCAATCCCAAGCAAATTAGGAATTGTGGTCATCATATCAAAAAGGAACCAGGCGAAGTGGCGCACACCTGTAATTCCTGCAGCTCAGGAGGTTGAGGCAGGAGGATTGTGAGTTCAAAACTAGCCTCAGTAATTTAGTGAAGCCCTAAGCAACTCAGTGAGATCCTGTCTCTAAATAAAAAGGGCTGAGTGCCCCTGGGTTTATTCCCTAGTACTCAAAAAAAAAGGCTGATATTAAAATGTAATAGTTTATTTATAATGAGCTGCTTTGAAGACTCAAGGTCATCATTTATTTATTTCAGTTATATAAACCCATGAAGTATATTAAGTACAGTAATTAACCTCGGAAGAATTGACTTTGCCTTTTTATAGCTTTCTTTGGGATTTTGATACTGGTAAACTGTCAGATACTATATTTTGCTGTTGTAGTATGCTCTCTGTAGCACTTGCTAATTGTTGCTTTTGGACCTCATGGGCTAGGAAAACCGGGTTCATTATAACTGTATAAGAAAGTGAATAGACTGAGAAGTGAAGGATTGAGAGCAAAATGCTGGAGCATTTTTTTTTTCTCCATTTAAAGATCTGTGGTGGACTTTTAGGGTCTTGGTTTTAATTTTTTTTTTACAAGTAAGGTTTATAAAATAGCTGAGCTTTACATAAATACTATATCCCACTGTTATATCTAAAATATCATTAAGGAAGTCATATTTGCCTTTGTAACTGTATCAGTAAAAAGACACAAGAAATTTGTTTCATTATTGAGAGAAGGAAGATTTAATATTATTTGCAGAGCTATGAATCGAACCCAGGGCTTTATACATGCTAGACAAGCACTGCTGAACTATACCCCCAGCCCTAAGGAAGTTATATTCTCAATATTTTTTTATATTATTGAAGCAAGTAAATAAGACACAAAAACTGATAACAAAGTAATCTAAAAATATAGCCAGGCTCTATAGCACCTGCTTTAATCCCAGCGACTCTGGAGGCTGACAGGAGGATTGATAGTTCAAGACTAGCCTTAGAGGTTGAATGAGACCCTAAGCAACCTAGCAAGATCCTGTCTCAAAAAATAAAGAAAGGGTGGGTGATATAGCTTGGTGGTAAAGCAACCCTGGGTTCAGTCCCCAGTAACACCCCCCCACACACAAAAAAATGTCGGCAAGGTCTGGTAGCACACATCTACACATATCTGCTACTCAGGA